TAGATTTGAATATTTCATTGTGAATATTTCATCAACATTTCACGAGGGCATGCTTTCCATCACAAACCAGTTACTATTTGTGCTTGTCATGGTAGAAACAACATTCACGCACACACCTATATTTTAAAGTTACAATTAGAAAAATTTAGTTAATATAACCTCAAAACATTAGAGTAATAGTTGCTTTTTCATAAAATATGCACATAAGACTTTTAAAGAAATCTATTTTAACAGATGAACTTGTTTTTTTTTTTTTTTGTATAGCCTAAAACTACAGTTATTTTACTTAAATCGAGCTAAAAAGTCAGTCGTTTTTTCCAATTGAAAATAATCAGAAAAACTTCTTCTCTACGCTTCATAAAAGTATACTTATAGTATATTTAGTTATTGGACGCGGTCACTTTCCAGGTACGGCGACATGCTTTTTATTTAATCGCTAAGTATCAGTGACTCTGTGAACTGCACGCTGCGCTCTCCAGCTGCACGCGAGTTGTTGTTGTTGCTACGGCTGTTGTCGAAGAATCTGCGGCTGCGGCTGCCGCTGCTATAGTACTAGTTTGAGCTGAAGTTGCTGCCACCACACCAGGAGGCGTTGTCACTGCAGTACCATTTGGTGTTGTTACGGCTACGGCGGCCATTGTGGGTGGCATTAGCGCTGCGGCGCCGAGTGAACTTAATGTTGTGCTGGAAGCCGCCTTTTGGTTGGGGAATAGTACTGAGTAGGCAGGTGGTGGATCGAGTTCCTCGTAATTGGGTGGTGCGGTGTTGCTCGATTGAAGATCACTGCCAGCGCCTGCGCCGCCAGTCTGCATTGCTGCTTCGCGTTCATTGTTGGTTGCGTGTTGGGAGGCAGAGGCTGAAAGTGAACGGATGGTTTGAATGTGAAAGCTTAAGCGACAACAGCAAACTGGAAGGAAGGAAGAAGGAAGGCGAAGGAGCAGAGATTTAGTTTTTTGTTGAGACGTGGAATTTGCGCGGCGGGTTAATGGATTAAATTTTGGACGTTCGATTAAAATGAATGAAGACCAGTATAACGGTAGATTTTAGTGGAATGCGTTCAATAAAAAGTTAAAAATATGACGTATTTGAATTGGAGAAAGAATGAAAATTTAATAAAATTACAATTGTGGATGTTAATGAAATGTGGATAACATTTTTTTAAATAGATTAGTTGGGTTGTGAGTTGCATTGGTTGGTAGATTGCATTAAAGAAAATTATAGTTGTAAATCGTATTTAGGTGATAATATTTCTCAATCGCATGAAATTTGTGGATTTTTTATGTGGAAGGTATTTGTGGATCGTATTGCAATTGGCATAGTATTGGAGCGAATATGGTTTATGGAACGCATTGAGGTAAGGAGAGTTTGTCACAATAAATTTGTGGATCGTATTGAAATGTGGATCGTGTTTTGTTACGTGTTTAAATTTGGACAGTATTATATTATATAACGTATGCGCGTTTTATTTAAATGTGGACATTATTAGGTCACCAAACGTTTATTGATTGTATTGAATTGTGGATGGTATCAGGTTGGATGACGATTGTAAATTGAATATTAAGCGATTAGGAGAATGTAAAAGAACATCATTAAAAAAAATAATATTAAAATAATAACAATTTGTTGAAAATATTAGTAACAGTGTGCGTGTGTGGATAAAGTGGAATGTAGCGTGTTGTTTACAATTGTTATTGAATGTGATGAGCGATTTGAGAAAAAAAAAACGGAAAATAAAGACGATTATTTAACAGAAATAAGCAACGACAACTTCAAGCTCTGCAAGCAAAAGCACCCAAAGCCCACGAAACTTACCCCAAAGTCCACAAATCAGCAAAGCGCCACCGCACAGTAGCATGCCCAGCATCAAATAACCCCACGGGCCATATTTCGACAAATCCGAATTGAGACCCGAACGTGTCGAATTGCGTCGATGGTGGTGGCCGCCAGTGCTTTCTGTGCTATTTTCAGCTTGCGCTGTGGCCGCCACTGTACTATTGCCACCTGTATTGGTATCATTCGCCGTTTGGCCCATCTGCTTCGTGTCCACTTTACGCAGGGTGGTGCTATTCACCACACCACTGCTGCCGTTACCCTCCTGCGCAGATTGAGCTGTCTCTGCAGTGATAGCTGTGGTTGTCGTCTTCTCGCCATATGCCGGCACATCGAAGGCAAACAAGTTACGAAAAACTTCCAATGCAAAATGCTCAAAAATATCTGTTTCCATGGCAGGAGGAATGGGTTCACCATAGCGGCGTCGCTTCCAACACATTTCATAATCCTCATCGCTGTCGTATTCATTGCTTATCGGACAGTGGCGGATGCCGTCGCAGACAAGCTCTTTGGAAATGCAAAGTATGGGTTCATCGCTGCAATTGTTGGATGGCGAAATGGAAGCGAGAAAATTTTATTATTTTGTGTTAAAACCCAAATTTACAAATTTTTAATTAACTTACCCGATCCTTAAGCACTGATGCTTATTCTCATTGCGACACTGGTCGCCCTTGCCCAAAGCTGTGACCATCAACTTGGAATGCAACGTGTGTTGGCCGTGTTCCCAAACAATTCGAACGCGCCCATGAAACAAACGCACCGGATCCTCCATATCGGGAGCTGTGTCTTCCAATTGGCAGGGATCTAGACGCCATTGCGGTGTGTGGAAGTCCAAAGAGCTGAACTGTGTAAATTATAAATACAAAAAAAATAATAAAAAGTTTGTGTCAGTGATATTGTTATGCCAGACAGTTGTTGATTACAAGATATTTACAGAGAAATGCTTGTAATTGGGATAATGTTGGAAGATCGCGCAATGAAATAAATGTAAATATTATTATTTGTGAGAAAAAAAGGGGCGCAGTAAAAACATTTTTAACTTATTTGAGAGCGTCTCCGCTATTCAAGATTTATGTACGTGTCTCAAATAAATACATGAAATTACAAAAATATATTCCAGAATGAATTTTATTTTATCGCGTATTTAGTATTTACTTACATATACATATATGTAAATATAACGAAAAACTTGTTATTCTACACGCGCTTGAAGCAAGACGCAAAACAACAAAAACGCGGCTTGTTTTGTACAGAGCCTGGGCGATGGAAGAATTGGATTAAAATGCGTAGTAAGATCGTAAAAGTGGAAACAGCGGTTTTGAAGAAAAGTAAATTTCCTTAAGTTCATAAAGGGTTTGTGTGTCGAAACTAAACTTTTTCGAAGTGAAAACTTCTTTAGCGACGGCAGTGATTTCAATTTCGATAAAACAAAAACTCGTGGCCAATACGCGTTTGTATGCTAAATGCGTAGATACATGTATGTATGTATGTATGTATGTCACTGCAAAAAATTCAAGTGAAGTTTTGCAAGTTGAAGTGATTTCCTTTTCGGTTTCTTTGTTTTGTTATTATGTACAAGTAAAAAGTCCGCCTAAGTGGGCAAAAATCGAAAAATTCGTTGGCTACAATGTGAACGTGTATTTGGTATTTTTGTAAAGGTAATTTATCCACTAAAAATAATTAAATACAAATCTCCCTATAAAATAAATTATATGCCGCCAGGAAGCCACTAAAATAGACAAATTTTATACTAAGAATATTAATAAAAGCATAGCCATGCGTAAGCTCTTCCCGGAAATAAATGTCAAAAATATATTCTTTGAAATAAAATGTTGTTTTGACGTTCTTTATTTCCATATAGATAGTAGAGAGCTACAGGATTAACAATTTCGGAATAAGATTAAACACAGAGTGTCCCTGCGGTATTCCAGAAAAACAATGTTTTTCAATCAAAATTTCAAAAAATTATTATCTTTTATTATTTTATTAAATAGCACGGGTTGTTAGCTTTCGAAAGAAAAAATTAAAAATTTGCCAACTTTTTGGACTTTTTGAAGTATTGCGTTTTATGCTAATGCATTTTTTGGCAGTGCCACCAGATCTGCACAACTCGTTCTATTTTTAAAAATGAAAAGTCAGATTAAAAAGCTTGACCTGTAGACAATATAGGTTTATTTTTTATTAAAGAGTTGCCGGCTGTTAAAAAATTAAATTAAAATTTTTAAATAAGTTAAATGAATTATTAAGAGATGGGTATCAATCGAAATGTGTATGAAAAGGGTTTATTTCTTAACCAAAAGTAGAGGGTTGCCACCTGTTAAAAAAAATTCCATGGAATTAAAGGAGTGAGGTTATTGAAATAGATAGGTATCACCATATGGGAGTCAGACGAAAGAGGTTTAAGAAGGTTTTGAGCTTGCAAAGTTTACGAAGAGGGTTGCCACCTGTTTTTAAAGTGAAATTTAGTTAAACCAAAATAATAATTGTGTCAAACCAATTATTTACGACATCGCTTTTGTTGTTTTATTACAAATACATACATACATTGTCAATCAGTGATTTGTTCAGATTACATTCCTTTTAAATTACCGGACTCTTAAATTAACTCAGGAATGTTTTTACTTTTCACTTATTTCTTGATTAATATGCCATTTATTATTTTCTATGTGAGCTTAATTTTGTTGTCTCCAAACCAAATTTGATAAGGGATGACGGAAAACTAATTTTACCCTTTCCAACACACTTCACAGTCTCTTCTATGCCTTTCTATTCTCTTGTTATGTGGGCAGGTTTCGTAATAACATCGCGTTTTAGAGATCACGA